TGTTTTAGTCGTAGCGTTTTCAATAGCAATTGCTTCACCTTTTTACGTTGACGTTTGTTTGTCATATATTTGCACTGGTTTTGCATAGCTCTTCCAAGATTTTGCATTCCTGTAACAAATACACATGTCAGTATTCTGCTACTAAATAGCAAAGCCCGATAATCTTGTCAACATTCTGCTTTTATTTGAACATCATTAAAGTGAAGAATAACATAACGCAAATTCAACCAATATAATATATTGAAAGTTTCAAGGTGAAGGTATATTTTTAGATCAAACTCACCATAAGCTACTACAATGTCATCTTTACCATATGCTTCTTTTGATATCTCCAAACATTCCGTTAACACTTCCTCTGCACGTTCAAATTCACAAAGTTCTAAGTTAACCTTTCCAAGATACCTCAGTTCTATAAATTGAACAAATGAGTAGAATTATGGATATATATTTGTTTCTGCTTTGAGTGCTGGTGTCATTGTATATATTTCTGCTAATAATTTATATTATCCTTGACGTTCGAAATAATATACTATAAAGTTACTAGAATACATTTTGAGGGGTTCGCACAAAACAATGATTAATACAATTAATTATTAACCATGGCTTGGAAATAATAAACAGAAATGTTTTAATGAATCACCGACAATGACGTCATAACATAGTATATCTGCATATCTTGTCACGCTACCGAAGTAGAATGACGTCATTCGAAATCTGTGCCTCATGTATTTTTACTATACCAAAATAAAATTACGTCATACCTAGTCTGTACCCAAACATTTCTATTCTATCCACGAATTTAAACGAACAAAAAACTACTGACAAAAAATCCACAGAAAAATAAAATACAGACAAATAAGTTGGTCAAATGCATGCACTACTTTTTAAGAAATTAATCCCAATGTAAATATTGTTTTAATGTTTCTCTTTCTCATTACTTAGTCTACATTGTTCTAGTTCTGTAATATAATTGGCAGTAATTTTGAACTAAGACGTGTATACATTACCTTCCTCCAGTTCTTTTTTATTTACTGGCTCATGCATCTTACTGAGACGAGCCATCAAGTCATACAGGAATCTGGCATTAGTGAGATCCCCAAAACGACGTAAATATGACCCGACGGATGTGAATAGGCTGTTGGTATTCAGAAGATTACTGATACTATCTTTGTTCAATGTCGCTATCATTCGTCCAAGTGCAAGAGTATGCAGAGCCAATGAAGAATATTGGTCACTGTAAGATTCATGAAATACTTCCTGGATATTGGAATGGGTAATATCACTCTTCTTTGGAAAAAGATATGAGAGAATATTAATAGCATTGTTTAGCGCCGTTATTTTATCACCAGGGTCTACAAAATTGAGAAATACGGCCTGTTGCACCAGGTGATGGAGTGTGAATGCTGTACTACTTAGCACCTTGCTATTCTTTGAATCACATTTGTTGGGTACCACTGTAAAGGCTGCGAAAGAGCAGTCTTGCAGCTTTTGGATGAAAGTACGTATATGTGACTCTCTCTGGATTTCGTTACATGACTTGACCATGGCCTGCAATTTGCTGTTTCTTAGATATGGCACTCCTTTCACCAGAAACTCCAATCTGATTCTTGTGGACAAGCATGAACAAAGTAAAAGAAACTCCTTAACTACAAGATCCTTGCAGAGCACATCATAATTCATTTTCCACGTGGTGAGAACGTTTTTGCGATTGGGATTAATCATGAATGCTAATGACTCTGGATCGATCTCTTTCATGATTTTCAAGAATGTGTCAGCATCTTCATCTTTCATATTTATTGGTGACATTTGCAGATTATGTTTTGACATGTTTTTCAATTCCAATGTGTTTCCCCCAATGAAATCTCTCAATGGGGTAACATAACTATCTAAATCTTTACATACCAGCAATGACTCTAAAGGGTCTGACAAAGTAGTCATAAACGGGGCATTCTTGCTTTCTGTATAGAGGGCCTCGAATTTTTGAAATGTTACCCTTTGGGTTTTTATATATTTACTAGCTTGATGTAGAGCCAGAGGAAGTCCTTGCAAACCTTCTTCTCCCCCTAGCCACATAAGTGATCTGAATTCATGGGGATCTTCTACTTGCATACTATGTAACATTGATTCAGCTTTTGTTATGGTTAAGTTATTTTCAGGGCTTGAGTTAGTCAGGCGTAACAGCAATATAGCAGAATCCGTTGCATTTAAATGCTGAATAGGAGACGGTATGAATGGGTACCAACCATCCCATCCATTGCTCATTCTTGAAGTGATGATAATGTGCCCATGAGGTCCTAGACGGGGCAGGCTAGGAATTGCCTGTTTGATAAGTTTTGGATCATCTGCGTCATCAATAACAAGTAGCCAACCTTCATTCCTACGCAACCAGTCTAGTGCAAGCTGCTGCACAAATGTCGACGTTAGATCTCCGATTGGACGGCCCACATTTACAGCCTGAAAATGGAAAATTGATTGACGTAAATTTCAGATTGGTTACATATGCAATATACCATATCTAGTTGATATTGAAATATTTACCTTCAACATTTTCCGGAATCCAAAGTCAAGAAAACTTCTAGATTGTCCATTTATAACAAAGACACCTCCTCTATACTCGTGTAAATGTGTCTTGATATACTGCGTCATGATCTCTGTTTTACCGCATCCTCCCAATCCATACAATATCTAAAAAATATAAAAGTGTATATCTGTATATTCTTAGCATTCCACCCTTCATTTATTTATTTATTCATTCATTCATTTATCATTATATCAATGAGGTTTCAATTTCAAACCGTGCTATACATGTAATGTGGTCTTGTCACATACCTCAACAAGAGCTGATGTTGGAGTCGTAATTCTATGCTTAGCTCTTAATTGACGATAGTGATTGTATATTCCGCTTAAATACTCTTTGTGCTCTCTGCCAGTGAAGAATGAGGATGCTTCTGGAAGTTCTGCAAGCAAACCTAGAAGACACATGGTTCACATGTTCCAGTACAATTTATATTATTTGATTGTTCATAAAATCAGGCATAATTTCTTATATTAAATTTGGAAAGAGTGATTGAGAATCTATTGCTGCTATATGAATTAACTGTGTGTGTTTTGTTGTATATAAATTATTTATTCAGTCGTAAATAAATAAATAAATACACAAATACATAAATAAATAAATAAATAAATAAATAAATAAATAAATAAATAAATAAATAAATAAATAAATAAATAAATAAATAAATATATATATATATATATATATAT